AATATGGTGCCCGGCCACACGGTCAACACTACCCTGGTGACCAGACCACACACTAGAAGGTGAAGGGACGACGACGTTTCGGTCCGTCCTGGACCCATTCTCAAGTCGATTGTGAGAATGGACAATGACTTGAGAATGGTCCAGGACGGACCGAAACGTCGTCGTCCCTTCACCTTCTAGTGTGTGGTCTGGTCAACATACTTCAGCCACGTTATTGTGACTCCTCGCCTGCAACGCTATCCTCTATCTTCCGTGGGCTTCATAGTCAATATTGATCAATTATTAGATAAGGAAAAAAAATCGATTTACTGAGTAATGGAGAATGCAGCAGTCTTTAACAATTTCCTAATTGTTCAAGTGTGTCAAGTATATACCTGGTTGATACCTGGTTGATGGGGTTCTGGGAGTTCTTCTACTCCCCAAGCCCGGCCCGAGGCCCGGCTTGATTTGTGAGAGTTTGGTCCACTAGGCTGTTGCTTGGAGCGGCCCGCAGGCCCACATACCCACCACAACACGGTTGGTCCGGCACTCCTTGAAGGAATAAATCTAGTTTCCTCTTGAAGGCTTCGACTTATATATATGGCTTCGACTGTTGTAAACATTCAGAAATTACAACTTTTACAAATGACTACATTTATCTAATTACAAAAAACTTCCTTAGATTTTTGGAATAACTTTAGCATACAATACAATATGTTTAGATTATTCACACTTAATACTGATAAAACAACTTTTATATTATCATCCACTACAAAAAAATTAGGAAACATAACATATTGTCAACATTTTTGATTCGTGGGTAAAGTGTTATTTTTTTTCTAATTAATTATGCCTCTAAACGTACAGAAAATTGCTATTATTCCCCCCCCCCCCTCAAACTTTGCTTCTACCCTTGCCTCAGGCATCTTAAGGAAGACGCCTTGAAGATATCCGAAGGCTCAGTACTCTTAATTTACAGCTGTGACACATGATACAGCTGTGACACATGACACAGCTGTGACACATGATACAGCTGTGACACATGATACAGCTGTGACACATGATACAGCTGTGACACATGATACAGTGTCACAGTTGTAAATTAAGCGTCGGCAGCCTTCATAATGAAGTCTTCCCAAATGTGTCTCATGGCAAATAAGAATAACAAACAATACTGGATGTCAGGACGGAAAGATTACAAAGCGGAATATAAGAACTGAACCAAAAAAATAAAGAAGTCTTTGTGTTCTGTATATATGAATTTTATGTGTATTTATAAGTCTATAATATTTTGAATAGTATTAGCTGGTTATGGTGCTATTTAATGTATGAATGGAAACGTAGTTATTTTCCACCAAGAATGATATTTTTAAATTGGTTAATATTTTTATAATTGTATAAATCTTATGTTCAAACAATCATCAAGAAAGTTTGAATATCTTGAGACTCTTCATGTATCCGAGTGTATTATGTTTCTAAGAAACTTGTATTCACCTAGTTGTGTTTGCGGGGTTGAGCTTTGCTCTTTCGGCCCGCCTCTCATCTGTCAATCAATTGTTTACTAACTACTTTTTTTTCACACAACACACACACGCACCCCAGGAAGCAGCCCGTGACAGCTGACTAACTTCCAGGTACCTATTTACTGCTAGGTAATAGGGGGCATTCAGGGTGAAAGAAACTTTGCCCATTTGTTTCTGCCTGGTGCGGGAATCGAACCCACGCCACAGAATTACGAGTCCTGCGCGCTATCCACCAGGCTACTAGGCTCCTCAAATGTGCAACATATGTACGTGTCTGTAATATTATTAATATGAATCATTATTAACAACACTCGAGGTAATCCAGTTATTAATACAATTAAGAAAATTATGTATAATAAAATTAAGCTATGTGCAATGACTTTGCAAGGAACACAGAAGGTCAACGGTACACCATTACAAACCTGCCCCAAGTTACATGCTTACCCAGCATTACAGGCCTACCCAGCATTACAGGCCTACCCAGCATTACAGGCCTACCCAGCATTACAGGCCTACCCAGCATTATAGGCCTACCCAACAAACTGGTCGATATATTATCTTAGAACAGAAACCTTACATACAATATAATTAAAGTCCCCCTCCCCCACCCCCTGTCTCTCTCTCTCTCTCGGCCAATGATTTGTAAGTTATACCAAGAAAACTAAACTGAAACCAATTGGAAACTAGTCCAGTAATTAATACACATAAAATAAAATAACGAGTTCCCAAACCAGGTTGTAATCTTGTGTTAATGAGTGACGCGATGCGTGGAAAAGCCAGATATAGTGTGGTAAAAAAAATAGTAATTACCAAGTAGCTTTCACGGTCCCCGGGGCCGTCAGAATAAAGCTGTTATAACGCCACAAAAAACATCCACTTACGTATCAAATGGACTGGGCCATAAGTCCAATCTCCAGTCCAACCTGCCTTAATTGACATGGAAGGTTGGCGGGAGGTGTGGGTGGGTAAATATGTATCAATCAACTTGATAACGGTCCAGGACGGACCGAAACGTCGTCGTCTCTTCATGTTCTAGTGTGTGGTTTGGTCAACATTTTTTCAGCCACGTTATTGTGACCTTTTCATCTGCATAATTTCCGTATTAAGAAACAGAATAGGTCAGAGTACTGAACCCTGTGGAACTCCGCTGGTGACATTTTGCCAATCTGAGATCTCATCCTCTCACAGTAACTAGTTGTCTTCTATTGCTTAGGTACTCCCTTATCCGCTGGAGCCCCTTGTCACTCCGGCCTGCTTCTCCAACTTATACACTAATCCAGTGATAAGAACCTGCAGCCTTTCACGGTACTCAGTGCGGCCTTCGAAACCAATTACAAATTCTTGTGAAATACAAATAAAGCTTCGTACAGTGAACAATGGGATTATAATACAACGACTGAAAACTTACAAAGCTTTATTAGTTAGAAAAACCATACTAAATTACTCTTCGATTCTGAGAGATTGATCTTTCTCTTTTCTTCTTTGTTTTAATAAGGTGTATTTAAAGGCATAAGTAAGTTCTTTTGCAGCTTTAACTATAAGCCACTGTAATATAAAACAATCTTTTACAGTATATTACTCTACTACTCCACACAAAATTGCGGCCTTATGATACCTTTGCTAAGTAAAATAGAGCCCAAGTATGACAAAAGTTCCCACCCCTGCACTAGCCTCTTATAGGGTACTGAGTCAATGGCTTTCTGACATTGCACAAAAAATATGCAGTCTGCCCATCCTTCTCGGTCTTGTCAAATTTGTGTCGCCTGGTCAAACAATTCTATTAAACTAGTGAAGCTAGATTTACCATCCTTGAACCCATGCCAGTGGTGTCTTACAAAGTCACAAACTCTCCAAATGCTATTAGCCTTTTTCTCGCAATATTCTCCATATACCTTGCATAGTATAAAAGTTAAGGACACTGGCCTGTAGTTCAGTGCCTCCTGCCCCCCTTCTTGTATACTGGGAATACGTTAGCTGTCTTCCAACTTTCTGGTAGTTCTCCTGCTTCCAGCGACCTAATATACACCATATAAAGTGGCATACATAATGCTTCTGCTCCTCCTTTTAATATCCAAGGTGAGATTTGATCTGGTCCAACAGCCTATGTTACGTCTTGAGTCCCAGTAGAAGTTTTCTTACCTCATCTCTGGTAATATGACATTCCTCTAGTGGTCCTTGATTGAACGCCACCTTCTCTTTGCTCTTCTTTGCAAACCTGTATTCTTAGGTGGGTGGGGTTTGGTTGTGTGCGCGCGCGTGCGTGCACATTAATTAGATTTTAAGATCAATCTGACTTTATCCTCCAGTGCATAAAGACTGACAACTATCACGGGTGAATCCATTTTCACCGATGCATTAGACACAAAAAAAAATATCACCCAGGCTAAAAACTGTCCGTGTTGAGCGTACAACAGCAGGCTCTACTTAAGAGCAGAGGAACAAGTCTGGTTTAGCATCAGCGAGAGCTTTTGTCTTGAAGCAAGCTGCCTGTCCGCCCTATTCGCCTGCCATGTCAGAGCCACTCACCGTGGCCACCACACCGTGAAGCCCACTACCACAACCTCTAATAATATATATAGTAATGTAAGTGTTTATCCCCTAATATCAAGCTTCATCAGAAACTAATCTGAATCTTTAAATTAACAATGTCTGCTTGGGCCAAGGTGTCAGTGACCTGTTAACGACAGACAAGGTGACCAAAGAGGATTCAGTAGCTCAACCTCCCCGTGGGTAAGAGGGTTGAAATGTTATTTGGATCCCCTTGCTCGAACTGTAATAGAGTACAGGAGGTCCAGTGATTGCTTGGTGCTGTAATGAAAATAAAGAATATATGCAGTACAGTACAGGGGGCGGCGGCTGTAGTGGTGGTGGTGGTGGTGGTGGTGGTGGTGGTGGTGGTGGTGGTGATGGTGGTGGTGGTGGCTGTAGTGGTGGCTGTATTGGTGGTGGTGGTTTTGATATTGGTGGTAGTGGTGGTGGTTTTGGAGGTAACGATGGTAGTATGATGGATGGGTGGATGGATGGTAATGATGGTAGTAGTGGGTAATGATTGTGGTTGAATCGTAGTGGTAATAGGGGTGGTAATGGTGATTGTAGTGGTAACAGTGGCTCTGGAGGTAACATGCTTGTGGTAACAGTGATGGTAGTAGTGACAGTTAACGTGACGGAAAAATTTTCACAACAGATTTAGTGCACTTTAACCCATCAGGAGAGTGGACACAAAAAAATAGTGATGATTCTCAGCTCCAGAGCACTAGCGCTCTCAAGAGCGAGCTCTCTGTTAAAGAGCTCTTAAAATTACCCCGGGGGATGACTGGAGAAGCGAGCGAAGAGAAAGATTAAGAGAAAACCTGGAGAAAAGAGTGGGCCAATAGACGAACTTGGCCCACCTGCCCTCACCTAGTTGTGCTTGCGGGGGATGAGCTTTGGCTCTTTGGACCCGCCTCTCAACTGTCAATCAACTGGTATACAGTTGAGCCTACTGGGCTCTCCCTATGTGCTTGACTCCAGGGAGAGACGTCCGTCGAAGCAGGCAAATGGGCCCTCTTCTTATTAATTACCTTATTCTTGACCAGAGAGCTAGTCTAAGATATAACCCCGCCCCCTCTGCTAGGCAGAATAAACTGCTACAGTAAGCGGGTTTATCTCTACCTTCATCTCCAGCTGCACGACACCTACCTGGAATAAAGGAAAATATATTTTGAGACTGTGAAAACAAAAGTATTAATAATCAAAAGTTCAGGTACTATTTGTTTTTGTAATTTAAACGGCTAAAATATCTAAATAAATTATTATTTAGACATTTTACCGACACATTAGCAATTCCTTTCGTGTTTTTGTTGAAAGTAAACTGATAATGTTTATATATATATGAATACTAACAAAACCAGAGTGTGTCAAGCACTGTAGCTACCTGATGCTAAAAGTTCCCCATCACACAGGATAGTTATAGTCATGTGATCAGTAGTCTGCACTGGCAGACTCTGGGTGCATTATAGGATATTCTCAAGAACACGAGAGGTAATAAAGTCATTGCAAAGCTCCATATGCCCCACGCCAACGGGTTGGGATGGTCTAATAACTGGGTGCGGGCCGGGAGGGTGAGTACGTAACTCTAGGCACTGCACACACCCTGTTTAAATATCCCTAATCGCCTTTAGTATAATCTTATCTTCCTCTCCAACATTCATTTTCTTTCTCTGTGAAACACACACACACACACACACACACGAAAGAGAGAGAGAGAGAGAGAGAGCCACCCGTCGCAGAGATAAAAAAAAATGTAAATTACGAATTAAGGAGAAGGGAATAAAATACGAGGTAGCAGTAGAGGCGAGAGAGCGACCTTGTCTTGGTTTGAATTGGGTTATGGATTGGGAACCAATCCATAACGAGACGAGACATGAAGAAGATAGATTTAATAATTTCAAGAGGTTTCTCTTGGAGCATTATCAAGTCTTGGTCCAAGACGGACCGAAACATTGCCGTTTCTTCACTTTCCGGTGTGGTTCGGTCATCACACGTTCTTATCCTATTGATCAAGTTGTGAAGAATAACTTAATTCAATAACTTGCGCTATTTTCCGGTTGCAATTCTTTTAACCATGTCGTAGCTCAGTCGATTAAGGCAGCGTCGGGTTTGGACGGTAGAGTGACGGTCTCGCTTCATGCAAGTCAGCGTTCAATCCCCGACCATCCAAGTGGTTGGGCACCATTCCTTACCCCCCCCCCCCCGACCTATCCCAAATCCTTATCCTGACCCCTTCCCAGCGCTATATAATCGTAATAGCCTGGCACTTTCCCCCTGATAATTCCCTTCCCTTCCCCTGGGATCCTCTCGGACGTAGGTTCGAACCCTCGTCACGTCCCTTGTAGATTTGTTCAACTTGCGCTACGACAACCGACAACCAGCTGTCGCTAAGCAAGTTCCTGATGCTGACCCCCCAATCAACAACCCCCATTCCGTCCCCTTCCAAGTTGGCAAGGATTGTGGCCAACTTGAAGAGGAGCGCTCAGCTGGAATGTGCGTACGCGGGATTATGATTGACGGAGAGGTAGTCAAACTGTCGCTAATGATCAGACTATGGGTCTACGGACCGTGGATATTGTTCCTTCTACCTAAAATATGAAGCCTCGCCACTTATGTATGGATCAAAAAGTGATCCGTACGGATCACGGATCCCAAACAAAGTATATTTGGGATCCCAAACAAAAAGTACGGATCCCAAACAAAGTATGATGCAGGCGAGGAGTCACAATAACGTGGCTGAAGTATGTTGACCAATCCACACACTAGAAAATGAAGGGACGACGACGTTTCAAAGTATGATATTACTGAACTTACAAAAAACAGTTTTAGCTCACTTAACGCAGACACACACAAGATCATCTGCGTTTAAATCACCGCAATGGTAAGTTTAACTTCATTTCATACTGGCTGGCTGAAGGCTCAATCCTTCCTAGTTTTGATTAACTGATGAAGATGAAGCCACCCCAAGAGGTGGCACGGGCATGAATAACCCGTAATTGCTCTTTTTACTATCTCTAAAGCGTCGTCAGTCCTGACAAGGGTCGTGTATACGACACAACAATCACGAGATGGTGTGCGACCCGATTGATTGATTGATGAAGATTAAGCCATTCCACAAGAGGTGGCACGGGCATGAATAGCCCCGTAGGAGGTAGATGTTTGGAGTGAACATGATCTTTGGTCGTGTAACATCTAGGAGTGTGTCTGGGCCTGGTGTGACCCCGATCAGCCACTTCGTGTATCTCCGTGGATTAACTCGCGGCATGACACCAGACTGATCCCAGTACAGAAAATCTAGCCCCAGAGTGAACAGAGAGGTGTAAGAAACGATGAAAGACTTCAGGAATTAAACCTTAAAGCACCGGAAGAAGTATGGTAGACATGATCACAAGGGGGAAGTTAGGAGTTAGAAACAGTTGATTGATTGACAGTTAAGAAGCGGGCCGAAAGAGCAGAGCTCAACCCCCGCAAGCACAACTAGGGGAATACACACACACTACATTTCTGCGAACATGTAAGGATGACACACAGCCACTTCATACTTCAACAAGCTTGTATGTATTCAGAGAAGACATCTTATAAGTATTTACATGATGCAAGTTAAGCAGGGAGGGAGAGAGACTCACTATCAAAGAGAGAAAGTGAGAGACTTTAGCTTATCTATCCTATCTTATCAATCTTGTATAGCTATCCCAACTTCTCATGTTCATTTATGGCTGTTTAAAAAGTAGTAGGTATCAAATCTCTCTCCCCGCTGTCATAACCGCTCGCTTACACCAAGAGACGGGAGATAATTTTCACGTTCGTCCTATCTTAAACGTCATCTTAATCTCCAAAGCTTACAGTTACGTTCACCTTTACACACTTCTTATATTTAAAAGAAAACTAAATGTGAAAAATTCACAAGACTCTTTTTTTATGTTGGTATATTGTCAACGACGTTAATATTGTAACTGAAATATATGACGATCTGCGACTCTGTCAGGTTATAAGCGTCATGAAAGGTGCGTGCGAGAGTAATGGGGTGATTGAACACAGCACAGAAGAGCACAACGTCCTCTGGTTTTCTGCGCACACACCCAAACCTAACCTAACCTTCCCACCACACACACACACACATTTGTAGTGTGTGTGTGACTAGTACCCGAGCTGAGAGGTATGAGCTACGAGGAGAGACTACGGGAATTAAACCTCACTTAGCTGGAAGACAGAAGAGTTAGGGGGGACATGATCACCACATTCAAGATTCTGAAGGGAATTGACAGGGTAGATAAAGACAGGCTATTTAACACAAGGGGCACACGCACAAGGGGACACAGGTGGAAATTGAGTGCCCAAATGAGCCATAGAGACGTTAGAAAGATTTTTTTCAGTGTCAGAGTAGTAGACAAATGGAATGCATTAGGAAGTAATGTGGTGGAGGCTGACTCCATACACAGCTTCAAGTGTAGATATGATAGAGCCCATTAGGCTCAGGAACCTGTACACCTCTTGATTGACGGTTGAGAGGCGGGACCAAAAAGACAGAGCTCACCCCCCGCAAGCACAATTAGGTAAGTACAATTAGGTAACTACACACACGCACGCACGCATGTACAAACTCGCACACGCATAAAAAGCTACACTGGAGATGGCACGGGAGTTTAGGTTGAGTATCCGGCTTTCACTGAAGGCCGGACTGTTGTTGTGGGGAGTCTGAGACGCACCGGGGTAGGGGCTACCTGTCACCAGCACCTAGCTCCAGGTACCACCAGTTTCTCTCCTTCACCTACCACCAGGCTGCTCCACCAGTCTCTCTCAGCCACTACCACCAGGCTGCTCTACCAGTCTCTCTCAGCCACTACCACCAGGCTGCTCCACCAGTCTCTCTCTCTCTCTCTCAGCCACTACCACCAGGCTGCTCCACCAGTCTCTCTCAGCCACCAGTCACCAGGTTGCTCCACCAGTCTCTCTCAGCCACCAACCACCAGGCTGCTCCACCAGTCTCTCTCTCTCAGCCACTACCACCAGGCTGCTCCACCAGTCTCTCTCTCTCAGCCACCAGCCACCAGGCTGCTCCACCAGTCTCTCTCAGCCACCAGTCACCAGGTTGCTCCACCAGTCTCAGCCACCAACCACCAGGCTGCTCCACCAGTCTCTCTCAGCCACCAACCACTATGTGTGTGTGTGTGTGTGTGTGTGTGTGTGTGTGTGTGTGTGTGTGTGTGTGTGTGTGTAACTAAAATAGTAAGCCTTGTAGTGAAAACATAAAATATTTGTTCTATCATTGACTATACATAATAACCCTCATACAGCTTCACTTATTATGTAACATAACATTCCCCCGCCTCCTCTGACAAGCTGAGCTAACGTATTACTTGAATATAAACACAATTCCTAAAGATTCTACACTTCGCTACATATGCTGCACTGGGCACACTACTATCACTCTGAATAGGTATTTCACACTTCATTTACAAGGAGGAGGAATAAGCCACCACCACTCAATAGTCCACAATATCACACTGTATCGTCAGGATATCGTAAAAACACACTGAATCGTCAGGATATCGTAAAAACACACTGAATCGTCAGGATATCGTAAAAACACACTGAATCGTCAGGATATCGTAAAAACACACTGAATCGTCAGGATATCGTAAAACACACTGAATCGTCAGGATATCGTAAAACACACTGAATCGTCAGGATATCGTAAAAACACACTGAATCGTCAGGATATCGTAAAAACACACTGAATCGTCAGGATATCGTAAAAACACACTGAATCGTCAGGATATCGTAAAAACACACTGAATCGTCAGGATATCGTAAAAACACACTGAATCGTCAGGATATCGTAAAACACACTGAATCGTCAGGATATCGTAAAAACACACTGAATCGTCAGGATATCGTAAAAACACACTGAATCGTCAGGATATCGTAAAACACACTGAATCGTCAGGATATCGTAAAACACACTGAATCGTCAGGATATCGTAAAAACACACTGAATCGTCAGGATATCGTAAAAACACACTGAATCGTCAGGATATCGTAAAAACACACTGAATCGTCAGGATATCGTAAAAACACACTGAATCGTCAGGATATCGTAAAAACACACTGAATCGTCAGGATATCGTAAAAACACACTGAATCGTCAG